TGATGTCTACCATGTATGAGACAAACATGCAAATATAAATTATATTTATATAGATAGCCTAGTTTAGAGTTTTAGAAGATGATAAGTTTCAATATCATACTTCATACTAATATTATAAATGCGAATGTTTGGATGGATGTATGTTTGCTTGAAGGTGTCTCCAGAAAGGCTGAACGGATCTCGATGAAATTTGGCATACATAGAACATTGTCTGGAGAACACATAGGCTATCAATTACGTTTTTTATTTAATTCCGCGCGGACGGAATCACGGACGACAGCTAGTATTTTCTATATTTACGAGTCACTTCGAAGGATTCTACCGACTCCATTACAAACACTTTCAAACGACAATTCCTAGATGTAGTTTTTATCATAAATGGTGATCGCGTACTTATATGGCCATGTTTAGCGCTGAATTATACATTAATGAAGAACGCAAAAAGTTTCCACTTTGGTATTAAACCTTTTTGGTAATGATTAATTTGACAGCTCATATTTTATTTATACATCCCAAGTTAAGAGAGTTTTGTAAATATGTAAAGTAGAAATAAAAATATATCTACAACAAACAACCGCCGTTCTATAGCAAAAGATGGTAATAGAAAAAACAGCCACTGAAATTCGCCAATATAGCGAACTGACTCTTACACATAGACATCTACTTTTGCAGTTGCGTTCACTACCTTTAATCGACAGAGGAAGGGACTCACAGAAAAAGGATATTCCCTTCATTTGCGTCCCCTCCTACGCTAAATTACACACTTCACGCCTATCTTGCATTTGTCGTCTGTAATTCGATTATTGAAAAGCATATACCAATGTGATTTTCAATATACCAACATGGCGAGGACTTGGACATATATATTTCTTCAGTCCGTTCAGTTGAAAATTGCGTCACAGACACGCTAGTTTTGACGCACTTGATTATATACATAGGATACCTCCTAATCTTACAACTTCATCGGAACTTCAATCTTATTCAATCTTTGAACAGCAACACCACCGTCGCTTTGGTATTAACATCTTCGACGCCCGCTCAAGACGCGCCCTAAGTGAGCTGGCGCGTAGTGAGCTGAGGTCCACGTCCGCGAAATAATACCAGTCCCACTCACCCTGATGAATGGCCCCTGATGGGCTCGAAACTAGTCGGTGCCGCCACCGGACGAATATACGTGTGTTTTTAACCGTTTTTATATCATTTTATTAAAATGTCTCACGAAAGTTTGAATAATTTACTAATAAATTTATTTGATTTTTATTCTTTACTAGAAAAACATCAGTTATTTTCAGACTTTACACCATCATCTCTTTGCAAAAACATTTCGAGACATTCCAATAAAACTCAAAAATAAAAACATGTTTTTACTGATATAAAAATTCCCCGAGGTAATGACATTTTTTTTTCATTTGGTTACATATAATTAGGTAATAAATCAACGCCGCTTGATCTAGATTAAATACGCATATCTTAAGATCTATCGCGAGTCTGTCTATAAACGAATTGATGTCGACACAGTTTTAATTTGTTGCAATACATTCTACATCTAGAAATATTTCCAGCACATAAAATTAGTAACGTTTTTAATGTACTTAAAGCTGTATACTGTAGTACTAGCGGAATTAAAAAAAAACCTTAATAAGTCTATGTGTTCTTCCATACTATACATGTGTGCCAAATTTCATAAAGATCCGTGAAGCCGTTCCTGAAACACCTTCAAATAAATATTCATCTATCCATCCAAGTACGCGTATTTATAATATTAATAAGAAGTATGATGTTTTTCAATTATCCTGGCGGCTCTAAAGTTCGCGCGATTCGCTGCTCAGAACATATTCTAAAGTGTGTTATGGCATAGCGCATAGCATAGAAGAAACAGCGCTACTTTTCCTTCCCATCCTTTTCTTTATAAGGAAAGGATGGGAAGTGGAAGTGGACTTTCCGGATGAGAGGATGCATGGAAATGGAAGATATTTTCTTTCTGTGCATCCTGTCCTCCGTCGATTTAAGGTAGGCAACGCATATGCCTATGGGCCACGGTCACTTCGCTATTTCAGTGATCTCAGGTGGCCGCTCGCTCGTTTGCCACTATTTGATATAAAAAAAAACTGGCCGATACCCTTTGGGGTGCCAAAATATTTGAAGAGATGTATATTAGATAGCAAGCAGCTGCCTTGTTTCGTTATATCGAAGTGATTCACCCATAAACATATGTCTACAATAATCATCCAATTATCTGGAATATCCACGGAAAGAGGACTAAAATTAGGCCTCCGGTACCGCACTCCTCAGACAAAACGCGGAATCTCTTCTACTTCACGCCAGTCTTCTGTGTGGTCGTGGTATTTCACCGGGCGAGCCGGGCCGATTCGAGCGAAGATGTTAAAGCGGGCTCTACCACTGTTAAAACTCTTCTAAATTTCGTTTCTTATCCAGTTGTTTCTCGCATATCTTGATGTTGACATATCAATTTAAACAACAGCATTTCCGCTACATGATAAATGCTTTAAAAATACTGCAGTAAATTAAACATTGTCATTTATCTATGAAAAAATCAATCGACAACATTTAAACATAATTATTCGCAAAAATCTTGATGGATTGAACGCATTAACTGATGAAAGCTAAAAAAAGATAATTTATTTACTTGCATTGAAAAACAAACCTTGATTTGTTTATATTACTAGCTATCGCACGCGTATCCTACTGCGCGGTATTAAAAAAAAAAAAAACTTAATTAGTAGCCTATGTATTTTTCCATATTTTGCAAAATTTCAGCGGGATCCATGTAGCAGTTCTAGAGATACCTCTTTTTTATTTTCTTTTATATCATAAGGTGGCAAACGAGCGACCGGCCACCTGAAATCGCTGAAGTAGCGAAGTGACCGTTGCCCATTGACAAACGCAATTGCATACGCGTTGCCTACCTTTAATCGACGGAGGAGAGGATGCACAGAAAGAAAATATTTTCCCTTCCTATGCATCCACTTATCCGGAAAGTCCACTTCCACTTCCCATCCTTTCCTTATAAGAAAAGGGTGGGAACGGAAAAAGGACTAAATTAGGCCTCCGGGACGCACACTCATCAGACGAAACGCGGAATTGTTTCCACTTCACGCCTGTCTTCTGTGTGGTCGTGGTATTTCACCGGGCGAGCCGGGCTGATTCGTGCGAAGATGTTAAAGCGGGCTCTACCACTGTTAACCTTCTAACAAACATCCATCCATCCAAACTTTTGTATCGTACTAATATAATGCGAATATTTAGATCGGATCTCTATGTCACTTGGCTTACTTATAGAACATAGTCTAGAAGAACACATAGGCTGCTAAATACGTTTCTTTTAAATCCGCACGGAGTCGCGGGCGACACCAAGTTATTATGTCCATTATCAACATCAGCTATATATACGTACCAAGGGACTCGGAGCCTATCTCAAGATAAGGGTGATTAGGCCATAGTCAACCACGCTGGCCCAGTTCTTGTTGGTTGACTTCACACATATCTTTGAATTTCTTCTCAGATATGTGCAGGATGCATCACGATGTTTTCCTTCACCGTAAGAACTTCGGATAAATGCACATATGAAAATCGGAAATGGAAAAACACATTGGTACATGGCGGGATGCGATCCCAGGACCTGCAAATTGCAAGTCAAGTGCTTGACCCCTGAGCCACCGACGCTCTACTATTATGTCCATTAGTTGATAAAAACTTTTTTATCTGTAGAAATATCGTCACTGTTAATGTCACAATCGCGTCACTAATAAAAGCTATAAAAGATAATTTTTGATGTTAGATCAATATCTTTTTTATATGTTACTAGTCGTAGCGCGCGACTCCGTCCATACGGAATTAAAAAAATGAGTACCCTGTGTATTCTTTCAGGTTATATTGTACATCTGTGAAAAGTTTCATAAAGATCCGTTTACACGTTCCGGTTCCGTCAAATATCCATCCATCCAGCTAAACATTCGCATTTATAATACTAGTAAGTAGTAAGTAGCTAGATTAGGATGTATCATTATGTTATTTTAACGGCAAAATGACGTAACAATTTAACAAAAGACTTTCTTTGGACAATAAAGGAAAAGTTGAGTGTACTTGATTGCTATAAACTCAAAAACTACTAAACTGACATCCGTAGTTTTTGAGTTTATTCCGAATTCCAAAATGTTTAAACTCTTAGAATGTCTTTTAATTAAAGAATAGTTTTCCATAACCATGTCATTTGTCTCATATGTATTTATTAACTTAGGAAAAACTAAAGCAAGTTACGTTAAGTTAAACATAATACGACATCTTACTAATATTATAAATGTGAATGTGAACATGGATGGCTGTTTGTTTGAAGGTATCACTGGAATGGCTCAACGGATTTTGATGAAATTTGGCACGGATGTAGCACATATTCTAGAAGAACACATAGGCTATAGGCTAAGTGAAAGATAAATAAAACAACAGAATTCTTAAAACTAATCATGTATTACATAAATATTATCAAAATATGATATGATTACAAATAAGTAACATTGTATTTACATACAAACACTTAACGTTACGCTCAATTTATATTATATATACATATCTGTTTGTTTTTTTAAATGCAATTGTAATAAAACAAAAATAAGAATCAGTCTTACGTCCTCAATGAAGACTGAAAATTATTTTCTTTTAATAAAAAAATCATTTTAAAAAGCGTATTTTTATTTATAATCTGTTTACGTCGAAAAGAATCCAAAAAAAAAAGATCGTTGAAAATTCAATATTAGAATTTAAATACTGGCTGCAAACAAACTTTCCCCAGCTTTAGTCTTTTTACATTTCAGTTGTTAATATTTTCTTAAATTTTAATGGCGTTTTCTTGAATTATATAAAATGCGTTATCTCACTTTATTCACACTGGAATATTTTGTCTGTAAAAATGTTAATTTTGTTGCTTTGACAAGATGAATATTAAAGTAAATACCACTAGCAAAAAGTATTTACTCTATGCGTAGTTTTTAATCTTTGGCTCGTAAGTGACATCTGTCAAAGTCAAAAGCGATCACATCATGAGCTGACAGCCACTGCAGCGGTAGTGGTCCTTTCATTGGTGACTGTTAGTGTTGTTTGCGTGTTTGATTGGTTGTCATTGTTTCTATTTGTTGCAGCTTCGGTGTCAACATTGGCACTAGCGTTCTGTGCCATAGCGGTTGCTATGGGCTGTGCGATTGGCTGCATTGGTGGTTGATAGTTGGGATAGTGTATACCAACCACTTCTTCATAGCTGGGCGGTGCCATGGCCTCTGGAAATTGTAAAAAAAAAGTTTAATAACAAGGGAAAATTTTTAAGTGGATTTGCCCTTATATCTAAAAACATCTGTAACTTTAAAGTCTAATTTCTTCTATCTCTCTCTAACACTATGACTCAAACGCCTTTAAGATTTTATTATCTTTTTAAATGAAAATCCACGTTTCACATCTACACAGTGTGCTTCGAATGTAAATCTTACTATCTAACTAATATTATTAATACGAATGTTTGACTGGATGGATGTTTGTTAGAAGTTATCTCCAGAACGGCTGCATGGTTCTCGTTTAAATTTAGATAGATGAAGAACAGATTCTGGAAGAACGCATAGTTTATTTTTTAATTCACGTAGACGGATTCGCGGGCGACAGCTAGTAATAGGATAAATGCGAAAATCATTAAACAAAATAAATCGATCTTCATAATCTCAGATAATACCGAGTTCTACGACTAAATGTTTTTAAGCCATAAAAATCGACATAGGAAAAAAATGATTAAATCGATAATATAACAATGTATCAAATCAATTCCTATCAAATTATTTATATCGCTTCCGTTATTTAAAAAGATTAATTTTGTATATTAAAAGACATTTTTAACAGTTAAAAGGCAGCGATGAATTATATACCATGATTCCAAAATTGATGACAATAACTTAATCTATATATTAAAAAGACAAACGAAACTCACGAACGGATCAACGCTTAATTTTTGTGCGTCCCGGAGGCCTAATTTAGTCCCCTTTCCCTTCCCATCCTTTTCTTTATAAGGAAAGGATGGGAAGTGGACTTAGACTTTCCGGATGAGAGGATGCATGGAAAGGGAGGATATTTTCTTTCTGTGCATCCTCTCCTCCGTCGATTAAAGGTAGGCAACGCATATGCAATTGCGTCTGTCTATGGGCAACGGTCACTTCGCTATTTCAGCGATTTCAGGTGGCTGCTCGCTCGTTTGCCACCATTTGATATAAAAAAATTGACACAATCAAAAAGAAAAAAATAATCATCATAAAAATCTTGTTGTACCAGGACCACAGAAGCGTAAAGCGTGAAGTGGAAGAAATTCCAAGTTTCTTTTGATAATTGTGCGTACCGGAGGCCTAATTTTTAAGTGGAAATGGACTCGACAGAAGAGGGGACATATAGAAAAAGGAATACTCTTTCTATCGCCACTGTAACTTTATTGTAACAACAGTGTTCAATTAATTCACATAAATTATTTATTGTTTTTATTTCATTCTCATGAATTTCTTTTTGTATTGGCAACATTTAAATTAGTATAAGCTTTTTCCTATGCTGGAAACAATTATTCATTGGACATTCGTTGGACATAAGTGTCTGCTACCATAACGCACTTTCTGTTCTTATATTTATTATCTATGTAACTATTCAATAAATAGTTAATAAACAACCACCATTTGTTTAACTATACAAACAGCAGCGGTGTGCTTTTCTAAAACTTAATTCTATTAAAAAAACACTTACCATATTTCGGCGGTGGGGGTAAATTGGCGGGGCTGACGTAGACCGTGGGGTCTGGCTGCGGTAGCGAGGTCCGCGTCCGAGACCCCAGGTACTGCCGCCTCTGCTGCGGATTGCGAGTTTTTTGACCTGAAAATAATGAAAAATAATATATAAATAATATGCTTCAAAAGTCAAATTTATCATAAGGTTGCAGCATCAGGTGGGATTTGTATGGCGACGAATTTTACTTTCTTATAAACGAGAAAGTTTAAATGGATACATTTGATGTTTGTTATTACGTACATCTTTACTGAAATTTCTCAAAATTAACTCGAAAGTCACGAAAGTTTTAGCTTTTTTTTATAGTTTTAGACATTATTATTAAGAATCATTTGGTGCGAATGGCATCCTTTCATTGCAAAGTCGAGTGTCAGAATGATCAGTAAGCAAGGCTAGTGTTGCGCCAGTACACCGGCACACTGTCGGATTTTCTTCTTAACAATAGTTATCACACAATATTTATTAACTAATTAAGGACACAATAAAAGGAAAACATTTTTATTATAAAAATAATCCGGGTTAAAAAACCGATGACCTGGTTATTTACAATTAATTTCCTAACCTAACTAGTATTTTATCAACGCTAATCTTTCTAGGTTTGGGTTTTATCAAAAAAAAACAAACACAAGTTAATCGTGAAATATAATAACCAATAGTCTCGAAATTTTTAGGCCTTTCATCGTAATTTATGAATAAAACTGGTCATAAAAAACGTAGCGAGAATTTACATCGTGTTACATCGTGTTGCATCATGTGAAACCGGAAATGCGTTTTACGGATTTTTACGGATTTACCAAATCTAAGAATATTAAATCTATTAAAGAAAACAATAAATTTGGGCCTTTTACCGTGGGTTTCTGAGACCGTTGTCTTTATAAAACATATCCTCATCCATTATCTTTGAAAAAACAGAGTTAAAGAGGTTACAATATGTATAAAACGGAGAATTTACTTTCAGAAACCATCGGTTACACAAGAAAAGATACAAAAGCCGATGTATTATTTGTTTTTATATTTACCATATGAAATTTTCAATTCCATTTTTATCTTTGAGGCGCCTATTATATAACTTTTGTTCTATTGGTGAAAACAAGTGAAGTTAAGTCATTGTATCAAGCGACTTACTTGTCTCTTACTAAATGTGGAAAAAAACTGCCTATTGCTTACTACAGACGTCAGCTTAATCAAAAGTGCCAATAATTATAAAATCCATTTTAGAGAACAAAAGGTATTATTTTCTTTTATAAGTTCATTACTAAAATCATACGAAAAAAAACGAAGCTACCGTACTTTCATTGCACAAGGCAAATAATCTTACTAATATAAAAAATGCGAATGTTTGGATGGACATTTGTTACAGTACTCTGTACAGTCTCCAGATAAGCTAAACGGATCTCGCTGAAATTTGGCATACATATAGAACATAGTCTGGAAGAACACATACCCCTCTATCTATTTTAGTTCTCTTGTTCTACTACATAGATTCCCTGGAAGAGATCGCTTATAGCGGTAAGGCTGCCCTTGCTATGATTTTTTTTTTATAACAGAAGGTGGCAAACGAGCAGCGGGAACACCGAGGTGTTCAACGACGCCCATAGACATCAGCAATACCAGAGGAAGCAGATGCGTTGCCGGCCTTTGAGAATTAGTTTTTAGTGATGTTTTTATAAACTTGAATAGCATTAAGAGTTAATAAATAATATAAGCTAATAAGTTTTTTTTTAATTCCGCTCGGACGGAGTCGCGAACAATTTTAAAGAAAGAAAGAAAGAAAAGTTTTTATTATAGGTAATACAGATTAAACCAAGAAACAATAACTAACATAATAAAATTGCACATAACTATGAAATTAAATTAGACTTAAGTTACCATTTATGGTTAATTTGGGTAATCTAGTGATGCCCACACTAGGCAATGCCTGTATCGTGGGCACCGATATTCAAATAGGTATATAATATTCAGTCCACAAAATTACAACAACCCACACTCACGACATTTTAGCATTTAACAATTATCAGTTACTCCGGTATACATATAATAAAAAACAAAATTTAAGTAATAATTAAATTAATTAATTAATTATTAATTATTTTTTTTATTTAATTAGTAGTTATAATACCTTACCCAGTATTAACATTCGTAATGTAGTCACACTAAACACTATAAGCAACATCGCGACGCAACCGTAAAATAAATAGACAACAACGTCACTAAGAGATTCACTAATAACATCATCAATTAAATCTTCTTCACTATCACTCAACGTATTTTCATTAAAAATTTCAGATCTCATTTTAAAATCAAATAGATAATATTCACAATTAAAAAAAAATCAAAATCGAATTATCGAGTTAAAATAATATATAAAAATCATCGCAAAATTATCACAAACTAAAAATAAATCGATTAAAAATCAAAGCCATGAGGAAAATATTAACTTCCGTGTAAATATATGAGGAAAAGACGACACAATGTGATAATAATTTGAATAAGCAATAACTTATATGAATCAGATAAATAAATAGGCATAGATAATAAACGTAAGTCAAGAATTATCCTCAATTTGTAATGACGCATGCGAGATATCAGCAATAACAAAATATTCGCAATATTAATAGGACATAAACATTTATCACCTTAGAATCGAGATCAACACCCCATTTACAGTTAAAACTAGCTTTCACCCGCGATTCCGTTCACGCGGAATTATATAACCTTAGTGGTCTATGTATTCTGTTCTACATCTTGTAACAAACATCCATACATCTACCGTAAGTAAAATGTTTTTATATCAGTAAAGCACGCGTTATCGCCATGAAGTTAGCTGAAATATGATTTTACATGGAGCGAGTGAGATAACAGTATACGAATGAAAAGCGTTCGACAGAGAAAGAACGCGTCTTTCTAAATTTAAAATATTGTGTAATTAATAGTCAATAAATCATTACTTTGACATTAATCTTTTTTTTTAAATTTGGAACATGTTAATAACCAAAATACATCATAACCTTACTTTGTTATTTTAAGAAAAAGAAGAAATAACAACATGTACATATATAGGTGAAAACTCAATTTATAGGTACATTCTACCCGCGACTCTGTCCACACGAAATTAAAAAAAAGTTAATTATGGCTATGTGTTCTACTAAGGTGGCAAACAAGCGATCGGCCACCTGAAAACGCTAAAATAGCGAAGTGACCGTTGCCCATAGACATACGCAATTGCATATGCGTTGCCTCCCTTTAATCGACGGAAGAGATGATGTACAGAAAGAAAATATTTTCCCTTCCCATGCATCCTCTCATCCGGAAAGTCCAATTCAACTTCCCATTCTTTCCTTATAAGAAAAAGGGTAGGAAGGGAAAGATGACTAAATTAGGCCTCCGGGACGCACACTGATCAGACGAAACGCGGAATTGCTTCCACTTCACGCCTGTCTTCTGTGTGGTCGTGGTATTTTAAACACCAAAATTTTATAGAATCAAGAATTAAATATATTTGAATGAAGCAAATTATGAAAATAAAAATATAATAAAGGGGATAATATGTAACAACGATATCAAAATACGAAATGAACCAATCACGTTAAAGCCGATAACAATTAGATAAAAGTCATGTGACTTATAAAAATCAATATACTTATTGAAATTATCCTTAGGCAGAAGAATATGAGTAGCCAAAGGAGTAACATTGCGACCATTACAACGGTGTACCAGAACACCATTTCAGGATAGCCAACGTCATCTTCAACTGTTTCATTTTCTTTTATATCTTCTTCTATAAAATCATAGTTGGGGTATCCGAATGGTGGAGCCATGTTTGTTCCAATATTGGTTCAAATATTTGAGCACAGCACAATAATTTGTTTGTTTGCCAAACAAGATAAGTACGTGACTCGATTAATCAGCACAAAGATTCGTTTGTTTTTCAAACAAAACGAGTGCTTTAAATTTAATTTTTTTAATGTAACACAATATCACTTTATCACTGTTAACTCCATATTGTAAGTTAAACTTATCAAATGCATGGTTTTTTTAAGACTAAATGATAAAACAACATTTTTGAATCTCTTGCGACATATATCTTAAAACTTTATCTATTGAGATGTTGATAATATCGATGACAGAAATATGTAAGAAATTGTAAATACAAGCTATCATACGAATCTTACTAATATTATAAATGCGAATGTTTAAATGGATGAATGTTTGTTAGAACATATCCACGTAAGGACTTCATGGATCTCGCTGAAATTTGGCACAGATGTAGAACATAGTCTAGAAGAACACATAGGCTATTAATTACGTTTTTTTTAATCTGAGTGGACGGAGTCGCGGGTGACAGTTAGTATAACAAATATTTTATATCAAGACACGTTCTTGTTATCTTTGGTAAGAAAAAAGGATAAGATACACGAGAGTTAGAATCATTTTGCCACAATTTTAATCTACAGTAAATTAAATAGATCTTTTAGAAACCTATTGAAACGCTAAAGGCTTAGTGGTTAATAGTAAGAACATACGATCACGTGGTCGAGGATTCAAAACCAAGCGACTATTATCATGAAACATATTCTAGCATAAACCCAAATAGAGCTTAAAATGATTAAAATGGTTAATGAGAATTGATAAAAAAATATTATTTAACACTCAATCAATATCTTTATCATCAGACAAACAACCAATTATCTTCTATAACAACGATCTAGATTTTAAAAAATGATGTATAAAATCTAATCGAATCAAAAATCAAATTTTCAGATCATTGATCTAGTAATTAATTTATGTCAAACATTTCTAGAATAATAAGGCATTTTTTCTTTAATTATCAAGAGTTTCCTTTGCAGAAATCTTATTTAAAAGTATATTATCCCTTTCCGGTACTGGTGTTAGGATAGGGCGCTATAAGTGTCGCCACAAGCCTACGCATAGACAGGCTAGTGTAGTATCAAGTAACCCTCTTCCCCAAAGACTATAGGGAAATGAAAGGCATAAATCCTAGTTTACAATAATCCAGTACAGTAGGATAGAGCTCAAAATCAGCGCTGGCGTAATGTAAACATTAACTGATGCCAGTGAGGCAATCCATGCCAGGCCAACGCTACTTTTCGATGGCATAATGCAGCTATTTTTGCTAAAAGAAATTATTTGCTTATTAATATTGGTTGAATATCGAACGGGCGAGCATTAGTTAGAAATTATTTATAATAGTTACCGTAAGAAGACACTTTGATGCACATTATAATAAAAGACATCGCCAAAACCGTTGACAATATAGAGATATACGCAATCGTTGCAACTGTCAATTCTCCCCGCGCGGAGTGAGTCACACTGTCATTCTCAAGCGCCATCTTGTTTTTTATTGCCAGCTACAAAAAACTCTCCCAAAATATGATCACCTTTAATTTATTTTTTAACACTTAATTATTGTTAAATATTAGAACAAAAATAAGTATTACTATTACACAGACTTTAAAAACTGTTTAAAAAAAACAGTTGCAAGTATTTCAAATAATTTTAAACGTCACCACACTGTTATTTAAAAACAGACTGAGTTTTATTATTATTTCTTTTGTTAAATATTGGATTTACATATTTTTTTAAACTATAAGTCACTTCAAAGCCAGCTATTTTGAAAATGGCATACTCAGATATGTTTTAAAGATATGGAGGTCTACAAACAAATAAAATGCAGTTAAACATATTAATGTTTATTGAAATATAGTTCTTATTGCTTTAGCATTAAGTGTCTTGTCTTAAATTAAATCCGGTAACAGAGTTGGTTCGCACAATCTATTTTTTCAATACTAGATAATCTGTCAATATAAGATTTAAAATGATTTATGAGCCAAAGAAAGAAGCCCTGTTAAAGTCAAAATCTACAATTCCTATTCGAATAAAAAAGGTAATATTATGTTTAATAATTTCGTTTTATTGTACGAAAAGTACTCAAAAAGTATTTACACCAAAATATCCTAATTAAGAATAAAATATCGATATGTTTTAATATGATTCATAACAATATATATGTGTAAATCCACAGGCTAAAGTTAGCAAGTTTAAAATATCTATACTAATGTGATAAATAAGAAAGATTTGATTAAGTATTTGCATTGAGTAGCCTCTGAAACTACTAAAACGATTTGCAAAATTCTTTCACTGTTGGGAAGCTACACTATTTCTAGGTGGACTTTTTAATTCAACTGCAACAGCAACTGCTAGTCTTAGTCTTAGTCTTAGTCTTAAATGCGAATGTTTAGATGGTTAAATGTATGTTTGTTAGAAGGCAACTCAAGAACAGCTCAACGGATCCTGTAAAATTTGGCATAGATGTAGAACATAGTCTGGAAGAACATATAGGTTACTAATTATGTTTTTTTTTAATTCCGCGCGGACGGAATCGTAGGCGACCGCTAGTTTATTAAAAAGGAAATACGTCAATATATCAATCATGAGGTGTTCCTATGTTTATGCATGTCAGATTTATCTTGATGGATACTGCATGCAATAAGATAGTTATAACACGAC